GGGCAAAAAAATGCACAGGGGGTGATATCCAGTATTCACAAAAGTAGATATTTTGTGCAGCAAAAAAAAAACAAAAACAAAACAAGATTTGCGCTCCAGATTTGTGCAGGCTATGAATACTTTCGGCCTTGACTGCCTTTAATTCCATTGCAAGTCGCGGCATCCATTTTGTCGTTTCCTCACCCAATGCGATCAACGTGGGCCCTTCCCAAAAAGACGGTAAAGTGGAGCGATCGATACAAATACAAATGTAAATGTCATCAATTCATTTGAGGCCGCTCCGACGACTTGGCTTGACGTATTTTTGGCCGGGCCCAAGAGGGCGGTGAGTTGATCGATTCGGGGCGCGGCGGCGCCCCCCCGGCTCCCGCCGCCATTCATCTTTGGGACGGGAGAGTCAGCCGGTGACACATGACAACTCCTCCATTTCTCTTCATTAGCGCCCGTGTTTTTGGAGAGCCTGCGAGGGAGAGTCATCACTTACCTTTATTGTGTTTATCAAGACGCGCCGCGGCTGACCCTCCCGATATTGAATTGAGAACATCAAAAGATCACTGGACATTGATGAGCAGGATATTAAAGTCATTCAAATGCTATATTGATATGTCAAGAGTGCACACGAGACTGAAAAGTGAAAAGACATTTTGCTGCCGGTGCGCTTCAAAGGGGATTCTGAACATTAAATAAAAGAAAAGTTTGATGCCATATTGGAGGTGGTTTGTTTTCGAGATGGTACTTTTTTTTTTCTATAATCAAACCGTAGCCTAACATATTGGTCGCATGCTTTCGATGAAAAGAAATAGAGCTAAAACCAAAATTCCATATCTTTTGTCTGATTGCTTGAGTAATTAATTTCACCATGGCAATGAAAAATACCAACGTACTTTTTAAAAAGTATGTTATTGTTTTTTTGTTGTTGTTTTTTTTTTGTTTAGATTCTCAGACATCCATGGCGCTTCTTGATTTAATTTTGCTTTTTTACATGCTGTTCGGCCGATGATAAATGAGATGAAAAATACACAGATATTAGGGAAATACATAAATCAGCATGACAAAAATATTCAATCAACTCTCCTAATGTCTGTGACATGCTTTCCAAATGCAACTTTTTATGACAGAAAAAAGATACGAGATAAAACAAAAGACATCCCTCCGATCGATCTTTTTTATCACAGACATGCCTTTGAGTATTGTTCTGTTATCGGTCTACATGAGTTGCTCCACAGTTTGTGTTCAAATATCCAGTTAGCATGTGCATGTCAAAGGCATTTGTCATGATAGGTTAGCATTAAGCTGGTGGGGCAAAGCAATGTGATTGGTTAAAACACACTCGGTGTCATTTTTTTGTTCTATACTTAGTTTCCTGTAAACTTCAGCTGGGAGTCACAAAAAAAAAAGCACTTAAAACGCCCTTTTGGAAGAAAGTGTTCACCATTTGACAAACTGCTGCTTATTGTGAAGTGTGCCGAGTTGAGTTTAGTGCAGCAGAATCTCAAAAAGACACCAAGCAAGTGTACTTGTTGCTTTCACACGCGCCGAGTCGGCAGCAGGAACTCGTCAGACATCAAAAATTTGGCATCATTTGTGCGCTGTCAATTGTACTACAGGTAGATGGCCAGCACTCCGCTGCGAGTGGATCTCAAGAGACAAATATCTAAAGGCTAAATATCATCGATCATCCACCGGCCATCAAAGAAACCCAAGCGGAACCTCGTGTGAAAGCTGAGAAAATGCGTCCAAAAAGACTCGCAATTATCCCCAAATGGGCCGGGCGAGGATTTGATGGCATGATTAAAGGCACGCTTAATTCCACGGGACAGTAACGAGCGGCGAGATGGACGGCCCAAGGCCGACACTCCATCAAGGCTTTATCGTCGCCATCGACCGTTTCCCGACGCTCATCCGCCTTCGTTTGCATGGCGCCTCGTTAGCCGCCGCCATTTGGCCGCGCCTTAATTAGCTGTCACGCCGACGCCTCTGATGTCATCGTTTTTCATGAATATTGTAGACACGGTTGAGCAAACGCACAATCAAGCTCCTCTCATGGCCATGTCAGTCCCCAGACCTCAACCCCATGGGAAAGAGGCGGTGCACAAAGTAGTCATAAGGCTGCCATATATAAGTTGATGTCAAAGAATTCTTTATGCATGTGGGATTGTTTTTTTCTCCTGTTATTTAGAACAAAAACGGAATTTATTAGCAACTAAGCAACACATCTTGAACCGGTGCCAATAATTGTGGAGGGCAGTGTTTCATTGTGATATTAAGTCAAATTTGTTAGTTTGGGGGGGGAAAAAAAGGGGACTTGTTGGCTGTCAATAGAGGAATGGGTAGACTGTCACTGTTCTGCTCTGTCTCAGTATGTTAAATGCTTGTATTATTTTTCAAAGTTTGTTCAAAAACTTTCAAAAAAATGAAGTCTTATAAATGTTATCAAAACTTCCCTCGGGAGTGATTGTGAATTTCACTTTTTGCTGGGATGTTCTGGAACGTAGCCCCCATGATGGAAGGCTTGGGAGGGGCGTTACTAGATAGTCTCTTTTTTTTTTTTTTTTTTTTTTTTTTTTTTTTTCTTCATCTTC